GCCCAAAGTTCTTCATGTCTCCTTCTACCACTGGCTTCGTACTCGTAGACTTCAGGGTTGTCGTCGAAAGAGACTTCTCTCCTCGCAGCAGCTGGCTTCGCCGCTGGCTTAGCCTTTGGAGGAGCTGCTGGCTCTGGCACTGCTGGAGGTTCCTCACTTGGAAGCGAGCCTCCTTCCTTGCTCTTGCTTTTGCCTTTGCCAGGTGGAGCACGACCTTCGCCTTGTACTGGTTCGGCAGGAGTCCGGCAGGAGCACCACGCTTTTTAGCCTTCTGTCTCTCTTTTCTGGATTGGGACGCCTGCAAGATCGACTCCTTCGACCTGTACGTCTTCTTCTCAGAGAACTTCATCCAGTTAGGAGCGATGTGTAGAAGCAGTGGTGTGTGACTGTCATTGTCCGAGGGCTTCAGGAGGAAGTGGTTCTTCGTCGAGTGCAGCAAGAATTCACTCACCGAAACCTTGTACTCCATGCTGCCCTTGTACTCAGCCCACACCTCATTGGTCATGCTATGACCCCATTCGAAGACGAGTCCAAATCAGGAAACGTCGTCCAATCCACTAGGTGGCCCACATCGCCGTAGGGGAACCCAAGCTTCTCCTCGTAGAGTTTGAGAAGATGTAGAGGGTTCGAAGTCACGACGCGTGTCCTTGGGATCAACAACCTGTCCTGGCGTTGGTGCTTCTCGAAGGCGTCGACGAAGTACTGGATCGTCGAGAAAAGGGCTGAGCTGTCGTGTGACACTGACCCCTGTTGGCTACCTCCGAATCGGTAGCATGACATGTTGCCGTCTCCGCCCATCAGATCCACTTGGTAGTGGAAGCAGTCAGCGACCATCGCAGCTAGTCCCTCGGCCAAGAAGCCGGGCTTAGAGCGTGCGATTTCACTTCGAACGTGGAAGTTGCAGACACGAATTGACTTCATGCCTGCACGCGTGAGATCTTCCTTGAACTCGGCCTCCTCGAAGGCGGACTCCACTCGATCAACCAGGTCTTCTTGTTCCATTTTCTCTCGAGGAATGGTACTTCCAAAGTTGATCTGGACGATCTCATATCTGATGGGAATCCAGGCATACGCAGGGTCTTTGAGGACCGGACCAGCAAGGTGCTTGAAGCTGACCTTGTTCTTGCCCTTGGTGTTTCCTCTGACAGCAGTGAGGAGATCTCCTGCCTCATTTGTTCGGAACAACCAGCCCTTGGACCTGAAGTAGTCCAACTCTTCTCTCGTCATGTTGTTCTCCTGCAAAAGAATAACATGTGCCTTGGAGTGAGAGAGGAACTTCACAATGATGGAGCTTCCATCGGAGTAATCCGAGATGAGGTCGGCATACTTTGGAGGAAGTGTGCCCTTTCTGCCCCTCGCGAAGTTCCCCAAGTTGGCAACCATCACGCTAAGACCTACTCTGGAGGTGGCCAAATGCGTCATCTCTGCCATTGGATCGGGTTCCTCAGCAAAGGCTGAGCTTCCCAAGCTCGTGGTTTCGAGACTTCCACAGGCCAGAAAGTGCCGAAGAAGAGTGTTCAGAAGATCACCTCTCGTAGCATTGGTTTTTGCCAGTGACTCCATCAACAGCGCCTCCTTCTCCGCAATGGCAACATGGGCATTGTATGATCTCTCAAGTGCATCAGTCGAAAAAGTGCTCCTCACATCAATGCTCTTGAAAGCCACTTGTTTTGCTGCAGGACGAAACTCCCACAACGGTGGCATCGTCGCCATTGTCTCGAAGAAGGGCACTTCTGGAACCTGGAACTTCCAATTTGACCGAGCAGGAGCCGCTCTATCCCTCCAGCTCATATGCTGGAGTCGAAATCGGTTCTGAGCCGACTGCGCCCGAAGACCACCATGGAGAATGCCATCACTTTCTCCATACTTCTGCCGACTGAGGATGTAGATGGGCGAACCCTTTTCAACCCTCTCCAGCTCATCAATGAAGCGCTGGTACTCGGGCAACTGCTCCAGGGTCGCCTCTTCCTTTTTGTCGGCGAAGGATCGAAGAGCATCCTCATTCTGCTGAGTGATCTCTTGGAGATCCTGCGGAGTAATAACAGTCTGTACATTACCCCACAGGCCTTGGGGCGTTCCCGAGGGTGCCTCACTTGGAAGTGAGCTTCCCTCTGTTTCCCCAGTGGTGACCATTGGCGTAGAGGACTCCTCCTCTACCTTGAAGTCACCTTCCTCGACCTTCAACTGGACTTCGGGATCTGGCTCCTTGACCTCTTCGGTCGCGTCGGGCATTGGCTCTTCTTTGATGTGCGCTTCGGAAGATGGTGGTGGTCCCTCTGCTGTAGCAGAGCCCGCTTCCTCTTCCATTGTTGCATCCAGAGAGGAAGGCGCCACCTTGGGTTCCTCAACTCGTGTTGAGCTTCCCCAGGATTCATCGACCTCGATGACCTCCTCAATTTTGATGGTTCCTTCATTGTTCTCGAAGGTTCTCTCAAGCTCAAAATCTTCCACAGGAATGCCAAGGTAGTAGTCGACGAATGCCTCCTCGGACTGGCGAATCTGCACATACTGCTGCAAGTCCTGAACGGCCTTGGAAGCGAAGCGAGAGAGGAACTTCCGCTCTGGGTACGAAGCGACGGTGCGTTCGATTTTCTTCAGGATGAGTTTGGGCTCAAACGGGAGCCTCAATGAGCAATCTCTATGCTCACTATTGTCCTGTGCGCGCACAACAAACTTGTTCCGAAGTGCTTGGTTGTCACGATTCTCCTTCATGTACAAGAAGAAGTCACTGCCATAGAGTTCCACGAACATGTCGTAGAGGTTGACGAAATCGCTCTGAATGTTGATGAGCTCCTGGGCCACCATCAGCTCGTGCCGAAATGCCTGGTACTCTGCGAGCTTCTCAGCGTAGTTCTCTGTGCCTTCAACTGGCATTCGATTTCGCTCATCTGTGACCTCAGGCTTTGCTCTCCCGTAAAGAATTCCAGGGGTGAAGACTGACTCGGCCTTAGATCTGAGCTCGGTGAAGTAGTCCGCGTCCCAATGTGGAGTATGATGGTCATAGTGAGAGACCTTCAACTGAAAGTCAATGAGCACATTGGCGGCTATCTTCCCCAGTCTGAATGCCTCCAGGAAGAAGAGAACCGGGTATCCACTCAGAGGATTGTGCAACCAAAGAGCCTGATCAAGCTGGAGCTTCTTTCTCACACTGACATGAACATCTCGGAATCGAACAACCTGTACATAGCCAGTGCCGTAGGAGTCAACCTTGCGCTCATTGTCCTCCATCAAGGCAATGGTGCCTTTGTAGAACAGCGTCCAAGGATTGGCCCTAAGCTGTCGGATCAGGTCCTCTTGGGCCCTGACTTTTTCTGCTTCAGCTGTCAAAGAAGTTTTTACACTCCCTTCAACTTCCATGCCACGCTCAAAAGGAATTCTTTTCCCTTCTGAGCTTGTTTCTGACTGCTGAACATGCCTCTTCTCCTCCTCTTCAATGATCTCTCGAAGGGAAGTGAGATCAAAGTGGGGCACTTCCCCAACCGTGGTTGGGCCTGTGCTAGGAGGCCCAGCTTCCTTCGTTGTTGTTCCAGAACCCTTGGATCCCTCTGCTGAGGCAGAGCTCCCTTGGTCCCGGCTGAGCTGGACGCAGGGCCACGAGAGCTTGAACTGGGAGCTGAGGGTTCCTCAGCTTGTGCTGAGCGTCCCTCGCGTTTTTCCCACCTGCGTCCACCCGGGTCCTTCTCGTGAGGGGGCCTCCAGGTGAAATGCAGGTAGCTCGGTGGCACACTCTGGAAGCTCAGGATCACACCGTTATCGGACAGGTAGAACTTGCACCCGTCTGAAATGGCCTGGTAGAGGTCCAACACGACATAGATGACATTCGAGCCGTAGCGGATGACAGTGCCAGCCCTTGGGGCCTCCTCCCCACCAGCGTAGGTGAAGTGCACAGCGCACCGCGGATCCCTCTTTTCACCTGGCCTTCCAGCGTCCGTGATTAACCCCTGCTTGAGGATGTTGTCGTGGTTCCACTTCTCGGTGGCGTGGAAAACATATCCCAGGCGACCTGCCATTCCCAGGGTGATTTCCATACCCTGCGCCTCCTCAGTTTGGACTGAGCTTACGCGAGTATGACCCTGAATTGCTCCAAGGCGTATGTTCATAGCGAAGTCTTGCACTCCTACCTCGCCTGTGGGCGAGCATGGAGCTGGACGGACGTAGGTGAAAAACCTTCCCTTGGAGTTGGTGAGCATGAAGGCGGCAAACCAAACGGCGTTTGTCTGCCTGGGAATCACTCTCCGTGTGTTACAGGATCCAATAGGGAGAGAGTTCATCTCGTCCAAATCGTTCCTGTGCACGGCCTCGTGGCGGAACACAGCAGAGAATGCCTTGGAGGCGCTGACCGTGCTGCTATGAGGAGTGTTCTGTTCTCTCGTTACCTGCTGGGTGGTGAGAGTGAACTTGTACAGCTCCTCAACCGAGAGGCACCCCAAAAGGGTCGTCACGAAGTAGAAGTCCCAGCGCTGAGAACTGCTGAGGATCGTTCTGCCTGTCCTGTCCTCGTACAGGATGACGTGCCAGAGCAAGGCTAACTGGCCCTCTATGGTAGGCAGATCTCTGTCAGCAATCCTCAAGGTGTATGGGTAGACGTCCCTAGGCATATTCCTCGTGCCATCTGCACTTGGAAGGTACACTCTGCCCGTGCCGCTGTAGAGGCTTGACGCGGTCCCTTCTCTCGAGAGAAGCATCCGCCTTGAGCTCCAATGCACGGAGTTGATCCAGTGGCTGTAATCGGGCTCGCCCTCGGGTGTGAATTGCGGCTTGAAGCCGACACTTGGCTCCCACGCGGCATGAGTGAGCGCTGCGGCTGCCATGGTTCCGTAGCAGGGAAGAGGTAGGCAGCTAAAGCGTGGGAAGCACCGACGGGCTTCGGAGATTGCAGGCACAAATTTTAAAAAGAGACCTAAACTCTACTGCAGCGACAAACAAGGACATGTGACTGTTGCAGTGCACATGACAGTACATGACTGCAAAAAAAACGCTCTCACTCCCTCGTCTCTCTCTCAGTCTTTCTTTTCACAAGAACTGATCATGAAACACACCTTGCTGCAAAACTGAAAACCCGACAGCTCCTTCCGGAGCCAGGCGCTCAGAAAAGCTTTGTGTTCCAAAAGAGACCTAAAGGGGGGATGAGCATCTATCTCCTTCAGCCAGCCCTTTTGAACTGACTGAACCAAATTGGTGGATTTGGCAGACCGTTTCGTCAAACAATCCGCCAGACAGTGTTCTGTGCGCACATGTGAGAGGTCCGCAATGGCCCCAGAGCAAGCTTCCTTTCGAAGCATCTGTATCATGTGTATGGTTTCTTGTTGCTCAGGGGCATGAGTGGTTGAAGCAGTTGTAACCAAATTGTTTGCATCAGTTCGCATATGGATCTCGGCATCTAGACCACTGATGTCCTTCCACAAACCCCTTAGCATCTGACAGGTGCCGAAACACTTCATCAAGGCATACAGCTCAGCAACTGTCGTGCTCAAGGTAGTCCTCTTGATCTTAGTGGATTCGAAGAAAATCAGGGAGCCTCTGGTGTCCCTACGATTCTTTACCCTTTGATCGGCGATAAACACTGTCATCGCTCTCTGTGAGGACTTGTCACTGTTGTTTCTGAAAGCAGCATCTGGAATGCCGAAGATGCGAGGTGTGCCTTGGACTGGCCAAATCCTAAGCTCCACCTCTTCACTCCTGATTTGTCGACAGAGCTTGTTCAGCTCCTTACAGTGACCAACCGTAGGTGCAGCTGAGGCCGATGCGAGACGTGAGAATGAGTAACAAGCCTGAAACTGAGTCCTGGACTGCAACCAGTTGATACTACCTAGCAAAGACCTGTAGGAGGTGTGAAGTTGTTTGTCACACACATCAGTGTCCTTCAAGTGTTTGGGGATGACGATCTCTTCGAGCTCTGAGACGCTCAACTTCTGATCAATTGAGATGTACTTCTTACTGCCCTTGTCGTCAACAACCCATCGAACCCTCTGACCAGTGAACATAAGATCATTTTTGTCTTCATGTCCAATGGTGAAATGTTCCTTGACCCTAGCCAAGAACCACTTCAGGAAACTTGGGGTTCCAGCGATGATCAGGTCATCAACATGAAGGCTGAGGACTCCTACCGACTTCCTGTGCTTACTAGGGCTACCATGAACAGGATCAACAAAGTGTTCTAAGAGCTGATCTACAAGTTCAGGGGTAAGCTGAGGAAGCTGTTCTGTGGTCTTGTAGGCCGCCCTTTCAGGAAGGAACAGTGTCACGAGCACTTCGGCCTCCTCCTCGAGATAGCTCGGCTCGTTATTGTTCCTAAGGTCCTGAGCCTTTTCAATCACCCACCAGGTTCCTTGGCGCAAGATAATAGATACCCGGTAGGGATAATCCTTAATCTTATAGGTCGGTTCAGGACCTCTCAAAGCCTTCGCCCTGTGGGACACAAGGGCCTGGCCGTTCTCGAAAGGGAACCAGCCTCTCTTCTTGTGGGCAACGCCACCAAGAAAGTCAAGCAAGGTTTTATCAGTGACTGGCCTCCAGTCATACTCAACCAGGTGCTTGGTCTTAAAGGCTTGCACAATGTCGGGGTATGCTAAATAGGACCTTTCTACCGCGGTGTCGGGAGAAGACGGCGGTTCTTCACAAGCAGATAACAACGCAGCTAGTGGAGACTCTGTGATGATGCCCGGTAAGTCTCCTATTGGCGGTTCCTCTCCTAGAGGAGAGCATCCTTCTTGGAATAGACTTACCTCTTCTGCGATCTTTGCTGCCGATTTCTGCTTTTCGACTCCTTCGTATCCTACATAGGTGCATCGGTCTGCCCTTGTGGGCTGCAGGCCGATGGTCCGCAGGAACTTGTCGAGTCGATTCCACCATCGACGCGGCGCGTCGTGGAGGCCATACACCGGCCGCAAACAGAGACCGACCATCCAAGGCGGCAAACCAATGTCGGGAGGCAGCTGAACAATCACGCTGCGATGCTGCAAGTTATAGTGTTCCCCCTGAAGAAACGCAGTCTTAAGGTCCAAATGAAACAAATCCCAGAAATTATTGGCAGCGCACTGACAGACCAAACGAAAACCGTATCGCGTAGCAGTTGCACTATCCGTCTGCTGATCCCAGGCATTCTTGTCCTGAAAACCACGACAGACCCAACGAGCCTTAAACTTAGAAAAGAACCCATTTTTGTCGACTTTCACAGTAAGAACCCAACGACCTGTGAGAAAATTCACATCCTTGGCTACTTAATTGACCCCGCCGACTTATCGACTTATAAGTACGTGATATGTATGTGATATGTATCGATTAAGTTGTTTATCTTGGAGTTAAGTTTGTTTTATATAATTAAGTTCCAGATAAGTTCGACATATTTTTGCTTGACATATCTCGGACTTAGGAACTTATGCGTGTTATGTCAAACAAGCTTATATAGAACTTATCTCTATTTATCCGTTTTACATTTTGGGATGTTGTTCCCGGTTTCGCGCATGCATCTCAGCTAAAATTGAAGAAATCGGTCTTGCAGCCCCTGCAACAGATATTCTATAGTTGCCTGGCAGCGTTAAAGCCTCCCCGGCCACCTCGGGACGCTTGCGTGCCTTGTCCGCCAGGTGTCCGCCAGGTGTCCGCCAATGTCCGCGACAATATAGGTCAAGCCCTGGCTCGCGGACGTCCACGTCCGCGCGGGGGATGTCCGCCTGCATGGGCTCATATAAACCCGGACCCCGCGCCGCTACCATCTGGTGTCGTCTGCTGTCCGCGGGTGTCCGCGAGCCGGTCCGCAAACAAAATGCCAATGTCCGCGGAGTTGGCCTGCTTTTTCCTTGTTTTCGCACGTTTTGTCTTGCCATGCTTGCAAGAAGCAAAGGTCTCTCTGCAATTCTGGGCATAGTTTTCTGCCATGCCTTAAGCTGTGTGCCCGCGTTGTCGAAAAAAAGGTGCTGTTCATGAAAACGATAAAAAAGCAAGCCTTCGAACTTATACACAACTTATCTCCTACTTAATCCGGACGTAAAATAAGTCCAACATAAGTTTCGAACAAGTTCATATGTTCCACGGCGTCAATATAGTAACTTCCTGCGATCGACAAATCGAAGGGCATCATTATCCAAGTAGCTCTTGAACTCGTCCAATTTCGCGGCTCGGATTTCCTTGGCGTACTTACGCTGCATGTCCTGTGTGATCGTACCAGCCTTAATTTTATCCTGCTTAGTAAGCCACGACGCAAACGCATCACCATCAAAAACAGCCCACTGCGGCGGACTCAAATCGTGAGGAAGGACCAGAAGAACATCTTCCTCCCCCTCGACCAAGGAAGCAAGAGACGACTCACCGTAATCTCGCGTCGCCTGGCTATCGTCTGAGTCTGAGTCCGGCACTGGCGCGTCCGTAGCCGGAGGCGCGACGGGAGTTTGCTGAATCGGAAACTCTCCTTCCGCCACGGGAAGTCCTGGCGGTCCGCTAGGCTGTGAAGAAGACGCGGTCGGATCTGTCTCATCCTCGTCTGGAAACGGAGCGGAAACCTGCGGATCTCCCTTTTTCTCCGGCAACGGCTGACCCGGAAGAGGCACAGCGGCCTCCGGAATCTTGTTTGGGTAAACAGGGAAACGCAGTTTTGGTGCCGCACTTGCGGGAATCGGATGCGCCGGTTCCTCGGTGCGTAACTTAGGCTTACTTGGCTCATCAGGATGTTTGCCGCGTGCACGCGTAATCGGCACGTTACGTGGCGAAGCCGGTTGAACAACAGGAGGAGCTGGGAAATTCGGATGCTTAGGAATTGGAGCTCTAAACACTGGCCCCGGTTTGGAAGGCGGGAGAAGCGGCTGATCCGGATGTGAGTAGATTTTTGCGCCTGGCGCGTCAGGCGGAGGACCTGGAGGCGGCGGCTCCATATGAACTTCCATAGGAGTTCCGCCATCCTCGAAGTCTTCAGGCGAAGGCCCGAACCCTGGTCCCGGTCCTGGAGGACCGCCTCCAGGCGGAAAGGCCCCCTGTCCTGGAGGATTTCCTCCGTCATCTCCATCCACATCTATCGGAATTGCCGCTCCATCTGGAGGGCCATCAGGTCCCGGCCCTGAAGGGCCACCCTGAGTCTCTTCCTCACCTTCATCCCACGACATATCACCCGGCACGGGTGTGTCATGGTAGTCCTGGTATCCCGGTACCTGTCCTGGAGGACCGCCTCCAGGAGGATTTTCAGGATCATCTCCACTAGAGGTGCCAGGAGGCACGCCTGGTGGAGGTGCATCTGGAACTGGCTGATCGGTAAAGTCCAGGGACACGTCTGGACCTCTCCTTTTCCTGGGAGGACCGATCTCATTCCAAAACACGATCAACGACCATCCTGACACCGCTACGTCCCTTAGACATGGGATAAGCTGCGCGAGGTTCATGAAAAACACATGTTCATAGTCTCCTAACTTCCACATGATCACGACGGCATCAGGATGTCTCTGAATAACAGGAAGAACCTTACCAAAAGTCCCCCGGTAGACATTGCAATTCTCAAACTCGAGATACGGAAGTGTCAAAGTCCTGATGTTTTTGAGGACTCCTCTCAGCGACTGAGCCTCCTGAGTGGTGGAGGTATTCACCTCCAGCTCTGTTCCAGGAGCAAGACCTTCAATCGCCCTGAGTCCTTGAACAAGAGAACTCGTCACGAACCTTTGAGGTAATATGAACTGCAAGGCGCTAGGGAGTTGATTCTTCTGAGCATTCAAAAAAGATTGTTCAGAGGTACTCGGAAGTGCTGAACAGACTTCACTGTTCCTATCAGCACGCAAACACAGAGAACACAAATCTCCATCGTCGAAATCCTCAAGGAGGTCTTGGAAAAGACTCTCTTGTCGATAATCACTACGATCAGTACCTTGAAGACATTCAGCCAAGAGAACAACAAATCTAGGAGAGAAAGAAGTGCTACTACTCATGAAAACTCCTCGCAGTGATTTCAATCTCTCAAACCAATCCCTTCCTAGATTCGTCATGAGAGTTGCTCCCTCGTCTTGGCCGAAACAAATCGACGACATGCCAATTCTCCAGTGTAGTGAACGAGCAGCCTGTGATGTGAAAAATCCCTGGTCTGTCAACCCCACGACAGCAACTTCACCTTGATTCTGATCCTGCCATCTAACGACTTCTGCACAAAAATGCCAGTAAGTCTTGATGGCCTTCTTGTTTCTCACAAGTGAATCAGGTATCGTTGGGTTGATCACCACAAGCGTGGGTGACGCATGCAACAGAGTTTTCCATGCCGAGGCGATACTCTGCTGGATCGCCTCTGGCTGCCAACTTTCCACGTGAACTGGCTCTCCGATTCTGTTCCCGTGCCGAGCCATACAGGCCGTGATTCCCGTAGGCCCTGGGGCGATTTCAAGGACATCACAAAATCTTCCCCCGTGCGTGTGATAACAAATTTCGTGTTCAGCGCAACATTGTGGCTCGTATTCACAAAACAAACCACCAGGTTCCTCTCCCGGTGGAGAGCCTCCTGGTACCTTGTCCATGTCAAGAGCAATATGGACATCATGCCAGGGGTCATGGTCTCTACGAATCTTTGACTGATTCACTCGAAGGATGGCTTGATGCACATGAACAATGACCATCGCACCTTCCTGTCCCATGACCTTGCCTCTAACCCATACTCCTTCTGACTTTATCTTAGACTCATCCTTCATCCAAACAAACACCTTGTCCCCCTTGACATAAGGACCATCTGAGGGCATGACTCGGCGAGCCAGGTCGCTTCGAAGGTCCTGGGCCTGTCTTGCCTCTTGATGTGCTCGCATAGCAATGCGTTGCAACTCCTGATTGGTCCTGTCCTCTCGAGGGGCCAAAGCTGACAATTGTTCAGGTGAACTTGTTTCGACGTCCAACAGATCAGGCGGTCTACGCCCTGTGGCTATTTCTAGCGGTGAATGGCCAGAGATTGTGAGTTGGCAATTCCTTGCCCAAACAACCTTCTTCACAGCATCCCTAACAGTGATGCTTTCAAGGAAACCTTCTTCTCTGAGAGCCTTTGTCATTTTTGCCCATGTCTTTTTGAAAAGACGAACTGCTGTTTCTGCTCTGTTCGGCCACGGCGTTCTTGGCCCGCAGGGATAAGGTGTTATCCCATGGAAGCGGTAAAATGCCAGGAATTCATCAGCGAAAAAGGCTTGATCACCTACTACTCCTTTCGGAACACAGTTGTTCTCTTCGATCCATCTCCGAAATGCGGCAAGGGTTTCGGTAACCTCGAGTCCAACGAGGGCCGTAGCCCAAAGCAGGTTAGACGCGCCGTCGAGAATCAAAAGAGTGATATAACTCTTTTCTCCGTAATTGATTTCAGCATGATCGACAAAAATAAGATCTCCGAACGACGCGGCACGAAGGCCTGCGATTCTGGCTCGCGGCGGTGCCGGAACTGTTGTTCCGCAAACCCTGCATGACTTGACGATGCGGTCGTACTTTTCGTAAATCTCTTCAGGAAGGCCTAACATGGACGTACGCCTACGAAACTGCGCGGAACTCATGTGGTAATGCTTCACATGCAACTTGTACAGCTCCACATCACTTCGCAGCTTTTCAATCATGCGTCGAAAGGCCGGAGAAGAGCGGGCAACTTCTTGCCCGGGAAGAGGTAGCGCTATACGCCTAGGTTCTGGATCGAAGCGCTCCTCAGGCGCATTGTCTTCTTTAGACTCTGGAGACGGCTCTGGCTGCTCCACTGGAGCTTCAGAAGGAGAGTACTGATCATCCCATTTAGTTGTCTCGACACCCTTACCCTTCAGCTCTGGAAATGGGTCTTCGTCCTCATCTGCAAAGAGCTCTCCTGGAGAGAAAGGTAAAGGTGCCTCTTCTGGGGAAGAGCTGCCTTCTTTTCGCAAGGATCCCTCTCCTAAAGGAGAGCCTTCCTTTCTTGAAGGATGTGGCATTAAGCCAGAATCTGGCTTTTTGCCTGTAATTTTCTTCCTAGCAGGTGCCTTGACGACTTCGTCATCAGGCTTTCCTCTGCGCCCGGGGCCTTTTCCCCGAGTACTCACCTTCACAGAGGTGCGATTCTCTATGCCACCTGGCAGAATCTTGAAAACGGTTCTACCTAACCACGGCTTAGGAAACTTGACGGGAGGCTTGTCCTTCCATTCATCATTCTGCGTTTCCTTCATGCCATCCTTGTAGTTGATGGTGGTCTCCCGAATCGTGTCGAGGTACTCGAGTGGTATGGGAGTATTCCCTTTCGATGGCGCAAAGGACTGAACTCGCTCCTTGCGGTGAACTCGGGTTAGACGATGGTTGCCTTCGTCCAAGTGCCATTCGTCCTCCACAACCAAGGCTTCTGAGGATTCCTCCCCTGGAGGGGAGCATTCCTTCGTGACCAACTTGTAGCCATACTCGAAGTGGTGCTCGTTCGTCATGAAGAAACTCACCTTCTTGTGTGCATCGAAACGAACTCCCCACATATGCCAGGCTACATCTATAAGATCGATCATCAAGTGTGAGCTTCGAGCAACCTTCAAAGGAAGGTTCTTCATGCCCAGAACTGAACTTGACAGAAGGGCTTCGTCAGGCTCTAACGAGATCTTGAAGCGAAGGTTCCTCATCTGAGGTAACGACATCAAGAAGGGAACTGTGCCCTGATCAACGATGTCAAATTCGGTCGACTGAATCGTGTAGGAAAGATCGTACATGAAGATCACAATCTTTTCCTTGCACTGGGCCATCTCGCTGTTGGCAAAAGAGAAATGACTGTTTGTAGGTCGTAACTCGTACCACAAACCACAGTCTGGATGATGGTCCACGAAACCCATGAACTCTTTCGCTGCTTGTCTCGAGGTCATAGCCCGTGTGCAACCGATGTCCAAAACCATAGAGGTAGGGGACAAAGCATGTGTCAAAAAAGACTTGGGAACATCTTCTTCGTTGGAGTCCTGCTTGTAAACCGCTTCGGACACAAAACTGTGGTGCTGCACCCAAAAGGCGTTAGCTATGGCCGGAGTACCTGGGCCTGCCAAGGCAGCAGTCCTCTGGGCTTCCGAGGTGGCATTGGCATGGTCGCCCTTGCCGTCCTTTCCTTTCTTGTCCTTTCCCTTGAAGAACTTGCCCTTGCCTTTGCCCTTTCCTTTCCGACCTTCGGCTGCATAGGAGTCGTCAGCTCCTTCCTGCCAATCAGTTTCTGTCCAGGCTTCATAGCTCCAATCATGCCATTCTTCGTTCCATGCCCAGTCGCTAGCGCTGACGTCTTCGGCGGCATGGGCCTTCCCTTTCTTGCGTTTGAAAAAGCGTCGGCCACCGTGGCCCTTGCCTTTTCCTTTCCGGCCCTTGCCCTTTCCTTTTCCACGTCGCAACTTACGACCTTGGAACTTCCGCTGAAACCACGTGTAAGACTCATCGTCGTAGACCCAGAAGCAATCCTCAAAGGCGTCCAGGAAGCCTTCTGCGCCATCATCCTCGTCCTCGCACCAGTAGCCTTGGCTCTCATCGAGGGTACCTTCATCGATGACGATAAAACTTTTTCTTCCTGGAGCACTTGTGGGTGCTAGAAGAGGGTTGTCTACTGTGGTCTTCGTGGTGCAAAACACTTCCAAATACACTGTTCTCAGCTCATCCACTCTGTAATCTGTGAGTGCCCTGTTCTTGTGCGCCATAAGAGAAGTAAGAACTTGTCTTTGGTCTTGGGTAAGGTCTGACAGGGTCACGAACAGCAGGGCAATGAGGTTCGCTGTGATGGGTAGTGCTCTTCCATGTGTTTCTCTCCCTTGTTCGTTGACTCGGCGAAGTGCTTCTTCGGGAGTGATTGCCTGTTGTTCTTCTTGAGGTAGTCTTAGAACATAGGCTCTCACCACGGGGTCGTTTTCACTCACTAGGGGAACAAAAGTGTCCATCCATGATTCGTTCATGCGCTGGTAGGACAGCTGGAATCTTGTCATCCACCTCAGCATATCACCACTACCACGATGCATGTTCATGAACTGCTGGAATCTGTAGAGGAAAACGTTCGCTGCACCCTTCACGAAGTAAGGCCTAAGGAAGCGCTTGAAGTACCTGACTCCATCTTCCTTGTTCTTCAAAGCTTCTCGATCAAGCAATCTCTTGTAGATAGCAGCTTCACCTTCAAGTCTGTTTCTCAATGCGGGTCCTCTCTTCTCTGGTTCAAGTTCTGTGAATTCACACCAGTCGTCTACGGCATCTTCGAAAGCAAACCAGCTACTTCTACCATCATAAGATGGGGGAACCTTGGTGGTCACCTGCTGAAAGGCAGAAAGACGCTGAAGCTCTTCCAGTGACCTGTTCCCTGCAGCTAAGGCTTCTCCGTCTGGTTCTTCGTAGTCGTCGAACTGGTCGTACGAGTGACTTGCCATGGCTCTACGATTGGGCTCGGATCGGCTTCCGGTTTTCGAGCTTCTGGCTGCCTCTGTCCGAACAGAGCGTGCCAAGGATTACCCTGGACACCTCTGTTGGTACAGAGCACTCCAGGTAATTCCCGGAAGCTCCGCTACCACGTTGAGATGAAACCTGAGCGTTACCAGCCTCCGGCTCGGTACAGCTGGCAAGGCACGCAGGTGTCTCTTTTAGCTCTGCTGGCTAAGTGTATCACTCTGATCCAGAACCTCGGGCACAGGCCACTGCATGCCATGATGACTGAACCCTGTGGCATACCTGTCTCTATTTCAGGGGGTGGGGGTGGAGGGGTGGGGGGGTGGGGGGGGGGCTGGGGTGGTGGTGTCAGACAGCGTACAGCGTTAGCCTAACTCCCTGGTCCGGTCGGGCTTGCGGGGAGGATTTGGCGCGAACAACCTAGACGCCTTCAGCCCGAGGCCTCGGCGGATTTGGGCTTTTGACTTTCTAGGACCCAAAGTAGGCCCTTACTCTGGTTTTTACGATTTAGATTCGCTTATCAGCCACTTTCGACAAACAAAAACAAAACCTAAACCCATTTTTCGTTCCTAGGCTACTGTTGGGTCATCCTCGGGCCATCCTCCAGTGAGAGCTACCCTAAGCCAACCGCCCTCAACCCTGTAAGGCAAAGCCTGTTCTTAGTAGGAAATGAGGGAATGATCCCTACTAAGAACCAAGAGGGTTTGGGGTTTAGGGTTTAGGATTAGGGTTTAGGGTTTAGGGTTTATGGTAAAAGCGTTGTTCGCTCCTTGTGTTCCTGCAGCCCAGGAGCGAGCTGAACAAGTTCGAGCCCTCGAAGCGGTCCTCCATGTCACAGGAGCACCTTTGGAAACCCTAAACCCTAAACACCTAAACCCCTAAATTCCTAAGCCGCTAAACCCTCAACCCTCAACCCAGAACCCTAAGCCCTCAACCCTAAACCTAGACCCTAAACTCTAAACCCTAAGCCCCTAAACCGTCAACCTAAACCCTAAACCCTCAACCCTAAACCCTTCATAAAGCCCCCCGTTGCTCCCTTTCCTCATGTCTTGCTCGGGTGCTGGGGTCCCCTTGGAGCGCTTGCAAGCAAAAACAAAGCTTGGTAGCTGAGTGGTTGTATTTTGGGATGTTGCCCTCCCCCCCCCCCTACTAACACTCCTGAACAGGGACTATTATCACAATCCCTATTAAGGACTGTTACAAAAAGGGGGAAAATCCCTAAACCCTATACCCTAAACCCTCAACCCTAGGACTGTCTAAGGTATCCCGCTGTCTAGGTTCTGTTTCGGGTTTGGGGTATCTGGGCTCCTCATAGCAGAAGCCACCCCCAAGGGTGCCCTGATTGTAATATGGTTACTGGTAGCCCACGAAAAGCTTCATCCCTTAAAATGTCGCCGACTTTGGGTTCAGGGTTTAGGGTTTTGGGCTTAGGGTTTAGGGTTTAGGGTTTAGGGTTTAGGGTTTAGGGTTTAGTGTGTTTATGGTTTAGGGTTTAGGGTTTCGCCTTTTTAGGGCTTAGGGTTTAAATCCTTTCAATCCCAAGCCCATTACACCCTAAACCCACCTGAAGCAGCAGGAGCAGCTCCTTCAGTTCTACAATGACGCCAACAGACAGGTAGCCATCCTCTGCGCCTCATCAAGGTTTAGGGGGGGGGGGGGGGGGGGGGTGTAGGGTTAAGGCGGGTTTAGGGTTGAGGGTGTAGGGGTTTCGGGAACTCCGGAATCCCTCCCTTAAACCGGCTTGTTCCGACGAGTGTCAGACGCCGCCCAGATTCGTGGGCAACCAAAGCACATCCCTAAACCCTGAAAACCCTAATTAAACCCGAAACCCTAAACCCTTAACCCTTAACCCTAAACCCCAAACCCTCAGCCCTGCCTCGTATAGTTGTGCTTGCTCAGCAATTCGAGCGCAGAAACCGCAAGCCCCCAGGTAAGGACCGTGCAATGCACAGTTAGAGACACACCCCTGAACCCTCTCCCCCACCCTGATGCAGGAGCCCACATGGTTGCCAAGAGTATACCCTCTACGAAATTGCGCATGCGAATGTAAAACACCCCTACATTACACACTAAGCCCTATGCTCACTCAGACAGAGTCGTAACATCGTGTTGGCTCCTGTATAAGACCCTAAACCCGAAACCCTAAACCCTAAACCCTCAACCCTAATTACACCCTAGACCCTAAACCCTCAACCCTAAACCCTAAACCCTAAACCCTGACCCTAACATTAAACCCTAAACCCTAAACCCTAAACCCTAAACCCTATACCCTATACCCTAAACCAAGCCTCCTTGAGGTAATCACCAGAAAGCCGAGTCCAAAGGCCATGCGCAGGCCAGGTTCGTTGAGGGTTTAGGATTTAGGGCTTAGGGTTTAGGGTTTTGGGTTAGGGTTTAGTGTTTAGGGTTTAGGGTTTAGGGTTTAGGGGGTTTAGTGTTCAGGGTGAGGGGGTTAGAGCTAAGAGTTAAGAGTTAAGGGTTTAGGGTTTGGCTTTTCGTGTCTACCACCCTGAACAGTACAAGGAAAAGAGGTTGGAGTCTTTAGGCAAGGCCAAGAAGGATTGATATTCGAGCTTTAGGGCTGTGAGTGTGGGTGAAGAGGGATCCAGGTTTAGGAGCTTAATCTAGGGTTAAGGGTTTTGGGTTTTGAGCTGAGGGGGATGAAACCTAGTGTTCCCCGGCCCGACTTCCCCTGGCAGTTACTGTCTACGACTCCTCAAACCTCCCGAAGTTAGCCCGGATACACCCCTAAACCCCAAACCCTAACCCAAACCCTGAACCCAAACCCTGAACCGTCGCCTCCCCAAGCTTAAACCTCAAACCCTGAACCCAAACCCCCCAAACCCTAAAACCTAAAGTGCCAGCGCCATGTCTGCTGAGAAAGATGGAACCCTAAACCCTGAACCCTAAATCCTAAACCCCACAAACCGTAAAACCCAAACTGCCCTAATCCGTTGGACCTCTCTTCTTGCAGGTCATGTACCTAAACAGGATAGAGTTGGTCTTGAAAGTAGCTCCCATATACTGGTTGGGTGCCCAAGCAGTATATCTACAATACCGCGCGCGTGCGTGTGTTTGCAGTACATCTATAAAGATAAACAAACCAGTAAGTAAAAATATAATATTACACGAATACACACATATATATATATATATATATAGACATGTACACGTACATGTAGTGCTTTTACAAGTTTATGGTCCCCTTTGGGGCTTCCTGGTTGAATACGGAGCCTTCTGCTTAGAGTACCCAAAAATGGATACCATGATTTAACCCTAAACCCTAAATCCTAAACCCTAAGCCCTAAACCCTAAACCCTAAACCCAACAAGCAGACCATAATTTAAAGAACTGCCCCTGTCCTACGCTGCGCAGGCCATGGAGAAGATGAAGGCGCAAGCCAAAGAGATCGAGCAAAACTACAAGCCGCTCGGCTTTTGCTGGGCATGCCCCGGAGTTTTCTGTTTTGAGAGTTTAGGGTTTAGGGTTTAGGGTTTAGGGTTTAGGGTTTAGGGTTTAGGGCTGTCGCTGGAAAGGTTGAGACTGCCCAAGGGCTGTGGGGGGGGGGGGGGGAAAGAGGTGTTGCAAGGTCTAAGAGAAGCCCTAGCCCTACACCCTTAAAATCCTTAAACCCCTAAACCCTTAAAACCTTCAAGCGGGTTCGGTGGGATGAAGGCAACCCGGAACCTTGAACCCCCAAAAGGTTCCCCAAACCCTGAAGCCTTTGAACTAAAGACCGTAGACCCCTAAACCCTTCGCCCCTACGCCCTGCGTTTAAGCCCTAACACCCTTAGCCCATCAAGCCTTCAAACCCCAAAATCCTCAAACCCTAACCCCTAACCCCTAAACCCTTAACCCTAAACCCCAATCAAACCCTAAACCCTAATCCCTAAACCCTAAACCCTAAACCCTAAACCCTACACGCCTGCAAAAACCCCTGGTCCTGCACACCGCAAGGCGGCACAAGAAGCACCTCATGGCTCTTCAGGCGCGCTGGGGGACGCGGAGGGATAGGAGGGGATAGGAGGGGGTGGTTAGGGTTTAGGGTTTAGAATTTAGGGTTTAGAGTTTAGGGTTTTAGGGTTTAGGGTTTGGGGTTTAGGGTTCTGGGTTCGGGGTTTAGGGATCAGGGTTCATGGTATAGGGTTTATAGGTTTCATAGTGTTTGTATGGCTTATAGAGCTTACAGGGTTTGTAGGGAGTGGGGTTTGGGGTAACCCGACACCCTAAACCCTAAACCCTAAACCCTGTACCCTAAACCCTAAACCCTGAACCCTGAACCCTAAACCCTAAACCCTCAACCCTGAACCCTGAACCCTGAACCCTAAACCCTAAACCCTAAACCCTAAACCCTCAACCCTCAACCCTCAACCCTGAACCCTGAACCCTAAACCCTGAACCCTAAACCCTGAACCCTAAACCCTAAACCCTCAACCCTGAACCCTGAACCCTAAACCCTAAACCCTAAACCCTAAACCCGAACCCTAAAGGGCTAGATTTTGGGTCCTTTGCTGTGCCCCTGCAGGAGGGCAAGACGTTGAAAGAGACGGAGGGGCAGAAGCTGCCAAAGGACGGAGTAGGATTTAGGGTTTAGGGTTTGGGGTTTAGGGTTTGGGGTTTGGGGTTTGGGGTGCAGAGTTTAGGGTTTTGGTTTTGAGGTTTAGGGTGTAGAGTTTAGGGAGTTTCGGGGGGGGGGGGGGGGGGGGGGGGTTCAGGGGGTTCAGGGGGTTCAGGGGGTTCAGGGGGTTCAGGGGGTTCAGGGTGTTCAGGGGGTTTCGAACATGGAGTGAGCCCTACAAGGGTCCATGCACCTAGAGAGTGTTCTTGAAACTTGTTTTCACCCGCGGTTTGCGCAGACGGCTTGATTAGTATGTATATAAATATAAATATAAATATAAATATAAATATAAATATATATATATATGTATACATATATATATATATATATATCTGTATACATATATGTATATGTATATATATATAT